TGTAGTTTCAAAACAGGCATACATGACTAAAAACTTCAGTGCCTGATGGGATGACGCACTAATTTTGTCCAGTCAAAGGTTGTAACAGTGTAATTAAAAAGTATTAAAAATGAATGAATTTATATATTTTTTTAATGATTTAACAAATTACTAAATTAATTGAACAATAAAAGAGAAGGTCAGAGAAAAAAGGTGCCAAAGCCTACAGGTAGGCACAGCAAAATGTGTGATAGGTGGATTAAGATTTAAATAAATGATATGTTTTACATTTAGATAGCTAGACAGACAGCCTGACAGACAGAGAGACACGCAATTCTTTGTCTGGGAATACGCTGCAGGAATAATTATGCTTTATTTCAAGTTCGTTAGCACGTTTACCAGAGGAGCCAACAAGAGTAGCTATTTAAAGTAATGTACTTGTAAAAGAGCAACTAAAGCTGAATAAAATTGAATAAAATGAAATTGTTACGAGACTTGAGTAAATGTATTAAACTGTAATGTTAGTAAGGTGATGGCAATGGAAACAAACAGCAGCATGAGCAATGTGAGCTATTCAACCCCCCCACAGTGTTACTGCAGTACCAGTGTGGTAACAACTGCCGAGGCTGTAAATCTGAGTATTTCCATGTCAGAAATCACGTCAGATTAGGAGCAACATAGGTTAGGATTTAGAAAAAAAAGTTCAATGTTTGACAAGTTTGGTATGCACAGAGAAAAAAACTGACCTCCTATAGAAGATTAATTTGTCTTGTTTAACTCAGTGGCCAGATGCTTATAAAAAAGAAACATACAAACACACAAAGCAGTTAGCGCCTCGACCTTTCAGAGTGTGGCATGGCAGTAAAATCAAGTTACAAGTACTCATTATTAACACTGCAAATGAGAGGCCCTGTAGATCCATGCACCTGATTATTAGCTGCAGCAGAAAACAGCTCAATGGCTGCCTTTGATAGCCCTCTAGTGACCACAGAGGTGTACCTGCCAGCAAAGATGGAGAGCCATAATATATCTGTAATGAGGCTTATTGCAGCTTGTCCGTTTCCATAGAGCCAGTGGAGACATTTCATTTTACTCTTTGTGTTTAAAGAAAACACATACTCTCTTTACTACTTTCTGAGTGTGTGTGCGAGAGAGTATATATGCAATATAGATACATATGTAAGCTGGTAGTGCACACGAGAGAACCATAAAACCAGAATAATAATTTTCTTCTACTTTAGTTGTCTCTTGACATCATTTAATCTCACTGGGTCTCTGTTGCTATAGAGCTCACACAGGAAGCAGGAACAGGACAAATAAAAAGAAGCCAATGGCTAAATCGGTTTGGTTCGATTTATTTCACTCATTTCACTTTAAGTATACCTGGAAGATCAGTATAATGGAGCACTTTTAAATGTAAGCAAAGTTTAAACGGCACATAAAAAATGTAACAAGAGTAAAAGGTAAAGGGAAAACTTTTATTATCAGACCAATATAACTCTTTTACATATAGGAAGCAACAATTCAGAGAAAAAAATATTTTAACCAATATTTGTGAAACAAGTTACTCTCAGATGTCAGTTGCGAGCATTTGTCTAACAAAATGAACTATATTTTAAACAATAACACACAAATCAACTAATCTAAAGACAATAAGAAAGCAAAGGAAACAAATACATTGATGGAGAAAAAAGTGAAAAAGCGAAGGGTTTTGCAGGGCATGGTAACTGTTTGCTGGGTTAAAAGTTAAGGTCCAAACACTGAACCTTGTGGGACTCCAAATTTAATTTCTTTAAGCTTTAATGGTTCTTTGCACAAAAATATACAAACAGTTTCTTAAATGTAAATTGTAATCAACTTATTGATTTTGCGGATAATTCTGGTAAACAATGGAAATTAAGAATGCCTATTTACCTAGAACATATATTGATTTTTAGTTAATAAAGAATGTTTATTCTGTTTTCTTTCCCTTCAAATATAAAGCAGTACATTTTATAAGCAAACCATTTTCAGGCACTTCAGAAAACTCATGCAAAGGCTTTCGAAAATAAAATAGAGGGAGCTCAAATTAAAGCCACATGGGTTTTATTGGTGTGGCCGATGCTGGCAGCAGAGATATTCAGAGCAGCAGAATTTAATTAACAGATTTAAAATTTACGGTGTCGTGCCCCAGTAAATCTGGGGTCTTTGTCTGTCTGTAATTATGGACTTACAGGTCTGAAGGCCACAATATAGTACGATCTATATGACTGGGGAAATTAAGCAGCTCATTTCTCCGCCTGTGGATCGGAAACAATTCCAGATGATTTCTCACTTCCCCCCTCAGAGTTCATTCAGCCCCACAGCTTCTCCAAGTGACACATAAGTTGGCACCGAATCTGAATGGCGGGGATGGAGTGGGGTTTTCCACCCACTTCCATCTGTATATAATAATGATTGTGGAAGCACTAGGTTGTGATTGTAATCGCTGTCTCAGTTTGCTCATGAGCAGTGCCCAACGGGTCGTGATAAAACCTAATGAGATAATGACCTGCGGTCAGATTTACTCTGGCAAAAGTGGGTTGGAGAGGCGTCAAGATTGAAAACAGTTTGGCAAACAATTTTATAAACAAAAACATAGTTTATGTGCCATGGCAGGGACAGACAGCATTCAACTGAGACATAAATCTGAAGGCGAGGCCAGGAAATGTTGTCAGATAACAGCATGAAAATCATCTTACTAGAGGTTGGGAAAGGTGGTAATATTCTCCATATGTCTCACAGCTGGTGGAAACAGTAGACTTTAAGAAGTTATGTTTTATTGTACGACCAGCTCTGTTTATCTAAAGAGCAGCGTGTCTAAGACATTTTGGAAACTAAAAACTGAATGTGTTTTGAGAAACAAAAAACACTGCAATAAGCGAATGTGTAATTTATATATTTCAGTTTAGCATCTAAAAGCAAGTATCTTTATCTCTTACTATGCTTCACAAATGTAAATAACTCACCTGGATTTCTTTTGGTTGCTTTCTTTATAATAGAATTGATACATCTACTGGACAGTATATGCAGTATCCTTACTTGGGTCATAATATTAAGTGAGGATATGCGTACACCTTCTGTGCATGTTAATGTGGCAGTCCTCTGCAAACTAAAACTCATCTCACTGACCCCTGCAGGAGTCTTTTCAACTCCTGCTGATTCCAGAAACTAGCTGGATGTGGAGGACTTCATTCAAGGTTTGAATTCAGAGGGAAATATTTTCATACCAAATTGGACTGAATAATGAGGCAAAATAAGAGAAAAAAAGGCATCAAAATATTCAGAGGTGTGAGTCAGCAGTAAAAGTCTTTATAGATGTTTCTCCCCATGTTGAAATATAAAACATTTCAGTTAAAGATAACCAGAAATACAAAATTGCGTTTTAAATATGTTTCGTTTACTAAAGGAAAAAAAATGCTATCAACCTTGAGATGAGTGTAAAATGTATTCATCAACTTGTTAAATTATCAAACCATAATTATATTAATCTTTGGTTCAGTTGCCCTAGCAACATCTACAGCAAAATCTGTTAAATAAAAAAAATACTAACATGTCAAGCAGCATTAAACTAAACATTCTCAAAAAGCATCATGTAACAGCTCTAACTGAAGATAATTAAGAAAATATGAAACAAGTCTGGTCTAGCAGTCAACAGATGCTTATATCAAAATTTTAAGTGAACAACAAAAAGAACCTGTTATAAATAACCTGTTATAAATGTTCTCTACAAATAGAGAAAACATGAAACCTTCCCAGGAAAGGCCCTAAATTAGTCTAAGAAGGTGTGGTATTGGCTGTTGAGCAAGTCCCAGTGCTGCAACGCGCTATTATCAATGATGACGTCGAATAGTGCACTATGTGAAGCAGAGATTAATGATTAATGACGTGTTTTTTTTCCTCTGGCCAGAAGTTCGATGGAAAATCCTCCCTCTTCAAGTTGGCAATCCAACAACGAATCCATGTGGGATCATGAATCGGAGAGGTGAAATAACACATTTCTTTCCTCATGTATTACAACATCCAACTGCCATGCACATGGGCATTGTCATTTTAACTATAGCTCTTGTGAATTTCAATGGTGAAGTCCTCTCGAAATCTTAAATAATTGTTGTTGATTGCAGAGGTGTCTATTAGCCCCTATTGATTTTGCTTGTAAATTGGGGAGAATGGCCTTCGGCTTACCGCACTGTGACATCACTGCCGAAAGATGTCAGGAGTGAGGTGTTACTATATTTGGCCGGTTCCAGACTCAGTGATCATGACAAAAAATGTTTTTTTTTACCGATTAACACTTAATTCATTAAATCATATTAGTTTTAAGTATAAATAATGACCCATTGGTCATTCCTTGCTGACTGAACTTTTCCTTTAAACAAATGACAGAAAATCTAAGAAGCTTGAATTATTTGCTATTCCACCATTAGCTGCCAGTTTTGCAACCTTTAACGGGTTTTCTACGAGGATCATCCTGTTAATTGGATAACAACATTAAATAGCATAATGATGCCATCTTAGTTTTATAGATGTGATGGTGAATTTAGCAGGTATCCGATTCCACTAAAGTTGACATCTGGGGTATGCAGGCGGAGCAGTGATTAGCGCACACGACCCATGAACTGTGGCCTTAGTCCTCAACACGGGCGGGTTCAAATCCGACCTGTGGTCCTTTCCCACATATCTCTCCCTCTCTTTCATACCACCTTTCTTGTCAGCCTACTGTCGAAAAAAAACGAGCCACTAGTGCTGTAAAAACTAAGAAATAAAGTTGACTTCTGTCCTCCTCTGACCAGGGGTATGAATACTTTTTCAGGGATATCACAGAGCTCCTTCAGGCTTGTAGAAATCAGATCTTTGGTCTCACTTCCTCTCAGTCCAATTATGTGCTTCTTAAAAAAAAAAAGACAGAGTATATGAGAGAAGGTGTTTATGGTGAGCTAATGAACAGTATCAGCAAATATCCTTCAGATGTTATAAAAAAAAAAAAAAAAAACAATGACCAGAAGATTTTTGAAGCTTTTCTTCTTTAATTGCAGAAAGCAGTCCAGTCATAAGGCAAACTAGAAATGAAATGGGGAATGCAGAAAATAGCCTGAATACACCTTGAGCCCTTCGTTATTCTCACAGCTCATTCTCCATGTGTTTCATGTTTGTTTGTTTTTAGATATAGAACGTTCTTCAATAGCACAGCTCAAACCTATCAAGTTCAAACAGAACTGTAGTGTTATGTATCTGATTTTATTCAGGATCCTACTAACACCTCAGACACTACATTTCAAATTTCTCTGTTGTGTAAATTTATTAAATGCAAACTAGACATTTTCAACAAGAATCTACTGCAGATATTTGAAAGGGATCAGGGTTTAAATAAAGAATCTTGATAAACCAAGGATTGACAGGAAGGAATAACACTAAAGGAAAGAAGGAAATATCTGAAAAAAAGACAGAAAGGAAGGCAGGTAGCAAGCTAGGAAAGGAGGATACAAAGCAGTATATGATGACCATAGAACCTCAGAATAAGAATATATTCTTTACTCATTCAGACCAGAAAAATACTTTGTTCAAACCTCGGATTTTAGAAACCAGCTTATATTACTGTACTGCAAAGTAACCCAGCAGTGTGTTGAAATAAGAATGAGCTCACAGCAGCAACCACTAACGGCAACATGGCCGTCAAACATCAGAGGTGAGAAATAACAGATTGATCTAAAAGAAATGTCTCGCATTAAAAAACAATGTCCGATTAATGAGAGATAGTGTCCTTGGATGTGATGAACTGGAATTTGTAGTGATCGGTTTCCATTTCTGGCTAAAGAAATGGTTTACATCTCAACAGGTTTCAACATCTAGCTGATGGTGGGAGTGTGAATGCTGGCCAAGCAACTAGCAGCCGACATGTGAAAGTAGCAAGACAAAGAAAATGTTCTTTAATCTGAAAAAATAATTAAATCCACGAGCTGTGCGTTTACGGAGTATTAAAGTCTTTTAAACCTCAACTTTATTACAGATGTATAAAACTAGATTTAGAGGTCATTTTTACAAGCATGATCTGCTTTATAGTATCAGATAAATAAGGCTGTCTCTATTTGTTGAGATGAACGCATCCTTGCAAGAGAGTAATAATTACTGTTGAAAATCCCCCCCCCCCTGCCAAAATCTCTTTATAACGCAACGCGTTTTCAAACCGGACAATTTTAATATGCTTCCACTAATTGTTGAAATGTCTCAGTCAGCAGCTGAAGGACATTTGCAGTAGTTAAAACACTACATCCTGAAGAAGCCTCCTCCAGCACAGCAGGAGTCAAAAATCCAAAGTTACTCTCACATTTTTTATCAACTAAACTAAAGCCCTGCTCAGATTAATGACCTGCTGACATGCTTGCAAAATATCTAACTGTAAAACCGTGAAGAGTTGGTTTTATCAGTTCTTGTTTTGTGGGTTTGGATCTCCAATGTTCATTCCCGCACCCATCAACCAAATGCTACGCCCCATAAAGAAAATTTAGAGTCCTTAAATCTGCAGTCTCTCTTAGAGCCAAAATAGGCAGCTTGAGTGATTGATTCCATATTAAATGAGCATCTGAATCATTTCATCGTCTTTTCTAAACTTTGGCATGAGGTCGCTTTTCTTTCAGTTTGGTTGTCGACTACGGGCTCAGGGAATTTCTTTGCTCATTTGTCTCTACGGACAACATGAAAAAATGGAAACGATCAAACTAAAGCCGCTCCTAACGGAACAGGGAAGGTGGAGGTTTGAGGACAAACAAGCAGAGCGGAGTCACAGTGTGGAATACATAAATGTGATCGGTAGGATGTGCGGGAGGGCAAAGGACAGAGAAAGAAAGCAGACTGTTATAAACTGAGAAGGAATGCAGGCTGAAGGGGAAGAAGGAATGAAAAGTGCTCTGAAGCAGAATGGGAAAAGTAGGAACTGTTATTTCTCGGCTTTCCTCTTCTTTTTGTCACTCACAGTCTTTTTCCCGTAGAACGTTGTACATGTTGATAGTAAAGCCTGATGGCTTCTTAACATTCTGGCCCTGATGTCCAAATCCCTCATCTTCATCATCGCCGTCCTCGTCATCATCAGCGTCCCTGTCTCTCTCCTCCTCAGGTTCGGAGCTTGACTCTCCGTCCTCTTCATCTTCCCGTTCTGCACTTCCTTCCTCCTCTGCCGCCCTTCCTTGAAGAGCCATGATATCTGGCAAGTCCGGGTGGTTTTCCCAATGCTCTATTTACCATAAACAACCCCCCAAATAAAAGAAGTCAGTTTGAGCCAATTTAGCTCTATTTACCATGAGGAGTAACTGCTCTTACCTTTGAGACAGCTGTAGCCAGGAGGCCTCAGACAGAGACACAGTCTGCCATCAATCGCCAGCCTTAGTAGACTATTTGCTGCACGATAAACGTCATTCCGAGCTGCTTTAGCCGTTTTATAGCCTCTCCTCTCTGCCCAAGCTGAACACCACAAATAAAAAAAGAAAAAGAAAGGAAGAAGGAATGAAATGAAAAGGCATTTCTAATAGGAGCTGTCAGGGGAAACATTATACCAAGTGATAACATCCATAATAAATAGATGCCTACAGATTTCCTGTCTTCTATTTCCTTAAAAAGATGAAGTCTAATATTGAAAAGCTCAAATGAATGAGCAATTCTTCTGCAGCTCGGTTCATCTGTGACAAAAAGCTAAAGTATGTTCAATAAACCAAATGTCTCACAAACCAGGGCTGAGAGATCAAAAAGGATTTGATACGTTTAAGACCCATGGGGCAAATTTTTGGATTAACACCTAGAAATTTAAAGCTTCAAAACTGAATACATTTTCCCTCATAACATCCCTGTTTGGAAGTCCTTTGATAAGAAAGACGCAAACTGCAAACCAGATGGGAAAGGTGAGTTTTCCTACGTCAATAAATGCTCTATGCTTTAGAATTTAAACCATCATTTACTGTATTTCTTTTTAGCAGCAGCAGAATTAAATGTTGCTTTCCTATTTTAAACTAAAGTAATTCAATCAAAATGCATACTTTAACTTCTATTAATTAATCCTATTCATTTTAATTGCTATATTTTACTATTTACACATTCATAGAGCCAGTTAAGGTGTCCAAGGATCAGAGCCCTCCTGACTGCTGTCAAATCCACTTAGCACTGTAACTCAGGGTTCCCACTGCAGGTAGTGGAGGGAACATTTCTTGTTTGGGCACGACCCGACTGGGTCCCATACAGATTAACCTGACAAACCTGAACCCATCATGAAAGCCTTTGAACCGCTCTTTGCCTGACCCGTCACTCAGGGCCATTTAAGCGCCAATCATCATAGCCTCTACGATACTCTGAGAACCAAATCCCCTCTCCCACATTAAGGTGGTGGAGAGTAGAGCTGCTTCTCCACCACATCGAGAGGAGACAGTTGAGGTGGATCATTTCTGATTCCTCCCCTAGTAGGTGTTCCAGGCATGTCCCACAGGAAGGACGCCCAGGGGATTCCTGTGTCTTCCCCAGAGGAGGTGGTGGAGGGGTCTATGAAGAGGGAAGTCTGGGCGTTCCAGCTGAGACGGATTCTCCCGGGACCCCGTCCCAGATGAGCAGAAGATGACAAATGCGTGTATTCCAGTGTTTCTTTTCATTTTTATCAGTATCAAATCAACTATATTCTGTTTTTAGCAAGCCTTCCAAAAAAGTTTAAAAATAAACCACTGGACTTTGTTTTTCCAAGTTTGAAGACGTTTCGCTTCCCATCCAGGAAAATTTTTCAATTCTTTTGTCTTGGTTTCCAAGCTTTATAGAGTAGCCCAACAAAGCCTTGTTATGGCTTAGAACACATGCAAATTTAACCAAAAGAACAGGTCCAGCACTTAGTAATGGGGAGTTGTAGAGGTCTTTGTTAGCCTGCAATACCCAATACTGGCCTATGCCTCTGAAAAGGGAGTCGTTAGGGTCACTGCTGGCAAGGCTGACCAGGCGGGATGTTTTGGTCCCCTGCATAGCGATGGGGGTTTAGATGATAGCGGAAATTATCAACTCTATTGCTGGGTTGTAGGTTTTTGAGAATTGGAACCTGAGAACACCCCATCTGTTTAAGGCTGTTTTTTTCCTCTTTTAACATAAATGGCTTCCTGCACACCGCTTTCAAACCACCTTCTTAGCAAGCCGGAAGATCATTGGTTGTGCTCACATTCCTACCATAATTTACCTTTAATTAATGATAAAGCCCAATCCCAGTACACCCCTCACTTGCACCAATAGCCTTGATGGGGAGAGTCTACGGGGGAAAGAGGCTACAGCTGACCAGGGTTAGCTATAGACCAGCAACACAGTGTACAGCTGGTCATGAGTAGGACAGCAGTGGAGAAGCCTGGCACGGAGACAGAGCTAAGAGAGGCTACGGCTGGATGAGCTAGCCTCTAAGCTAACTGCTACAGATGTAAGGATGTTGTATGGCATGCATCTTATGTACGGTATGTGCGTACGTAAATATGCAGTCGTTTACATACCAGAATGTCAAGTACGCAGCAAAGGGGAGTCCCAATTCCTAGGGAATAATACAAAGCCCTGACTGCTGTGGCTTCAATTCCAGGGTGCGTGGGTATTGGTTGAACGTAGGGGTTGTACTGGGATTGGGTCTAAATCTAAATGTGCATCCATTGCTTCTTTTGTTACCTTTATAAAGGAAAATCTATCAAATATGCGCTTTAAATTTAACTTTGTTTTTAATGTACAAGGACTTATATTTTTTAAGTTGGGCTTCTTCGCTTTTATGATGAAATATTTGCAGCATAAACTTTAAAGAAAGAGGACTGAATAATTCATTCCCAAACATACTCTCGTTTAGATATAAAGGTTAAAGGAAACTACATCTTATATGCAACTCCATGTTAATCCTAACAATCCCACTGATAAATGAAACAGTGAAATAAGCCGAACAGTAGATCTTAGATATTGGAGCTTCAGTTGAGATCTGGCGCTGTTATTACTTACTTGAGAACTAAAGCTATGCTGCCCTCTGCAGCCACCTTAATGAACTACCACTAAGTGAAATATTGAAAGGTATAGAAATATTTATATATCTTTAAATTAATATTTGACTCATAAAATTTTGCATCACCTTTTTCTTCTTTTGAAAATGAGTTGTTGATTGTGTCGAATTTTCATAGCAGTCCTAGTTTAATCCTACCCATAATACATTCCAGTCCAATGTCAATTAGTTAAAAGCTTTAAAGTAAAGCCCAGCCAGCTACATCTGGTCATTAAATGGGCAGCAATCTGTCAAATGAAGGAAGTGTGAGGTGACACTAGAGAGGAATTATTTCTGTTCAAAAGGAGGAGACCTTCAGAACACAGGGATGTTTGAGAAGACAGACCCGCAATCCACCATCACATTCTTTAGCGAATCACCTGATTCATGTCGGAAAACCTTCCTTGGTGTTTGCATCACACGGCTTTGGGGTGTACCTAAACACTTGCGGCGGGATTTAACTCCTTACCTTCACACACCTCCCATGCAGTCCAACTGGGTTCTGTAGTACCGTGCCGCTCCTGCTGAGATCCCTTCTCTTGCAAACTGGGGTGTTTGAGCTTCAGCACGGAAAGGTAAGGGGTCCTCTCACAAAGATAACCGACTGAAGTGTAGGGCTCCTGCAGCTGGGCTACTGGGTAAATACCTGCTAGAATCTTGGGAAAATAAATATCAATGACTTGGAGGCAGGAAGTAGCAATGCACAGCAACACCTAAACAAATTTTAAAGAGTCTTCATCCATTACAGAAATCCACTTTTCAACTAGAGTCTTCTGAAAGACATCAACCTGAGATAGATAAAACCAGCTGTGGTATTTGACACATCTAAGATTATGAACAGGTAAATAAACCCAGTCACAGAAAAGTACCTGTAGCTGCTTATTGACACAGGAGGGGAAGACGAGGCCGGGGCAGTCGCACATTTTGACTGTCGGGGTGAGGTAGTAGGTTTGGAAGTATTTGGTGTGACCTGGCGTTCGAGACACGCTGACAACCTTCCTCCCAACTAGGCTGTTTATTACAGATGATTTACCAACATTAGGAAAACCTGGAAAAAAAATAACCAGAGGTTAGAATTCAGGTACTCTAACATATATCTTTAAACAGTTTTATTTGCATTGTACAGAGTCATCCTCATGGTGAGTCATGTGTGCTTGCACACACTCCGGCCAGCGGTTAGAGAGCGCAGCCTTTAGAGGTAGGGGCAAGGTGGTCATAAGAGGATTCATTAATGACTGATTCTGTTTTTTAAGCCAACCGACTGCCTGTAAGAATTTGTTTTTCTTTACCCCATAAATCACAAGGGAAAAAATAAAACTAATGGAAGCTGGTTAATATGGATAAAATGCTGCAAGGAAGTTGTGCAGGATGTAGTCAGTGTGTACACTGCCGTAGAGAAATCATCTGGGGTTCCTCCACTGTATTACTAACCTGGCATAATCCATATGATAACTGTAAAGAATTTAAAATGAACTACAATATTGATCTGGAAAGCCTCATGATTGCAAAGGAGAGGAACGTTCAGTAAAATTCTTGGAGCTGATTGGCTACCTGCATCCCATTTTGATATTTTAGCCAATCACAGGAGCAGTAGCAGCTTGATTTGTTTCCAAACTCCTACCAAATCCGGTCGAGGGGAACCCGCAAACATCTTCCCGTCTACAAAGGCAGAAATCCTGTCCTTTTGCTGGTTTTTCAAAAAGAAATAGACTGTATTCCAGCTACAACAAAACTAGCAGCAGTAGTGGAGTTTGGAGATGCAACCACAAGTTTTCTCTCACTCCAACTTGCTGGTCGGCTGCAAATTTAGCATGCCTGGAAATGCCGTTCCGTTTTTACTGCATTGGAAACGCCTGGTTTACTGAAAATGAAAGCTGGATGAAAATACACTAGAGAGATGAAGCAAGTGATTGAAAGAAAACTACACAGATAAAACATTTTTTGATAAAACTCACCTATACAGCCTAATGTGAGAACTCCATCTTTGTAGAGCTCCTGGTTGCTCATCTCTAAAGTGCTGTCAGTCTGATGCTCTACTAACACTGACTCAGCTCCGTCTTCGTGTGACTCTCCATCCAGTCGTTCTGCGACGGCGTCTCTGTGAATCTTCTGTTCCCAGCTGGAGAGGTCAACTGAGAAAAGGACATGAAAGCGATAGAAATGTGAAACATTTTGAGGATCAGCATAAATGCAGGGAGGGTCATCTGTCACTATGAAACATCAGTTATTAAGATGAAGAGTAAGAGCACCTCACCTTTTCCGGCTGTGATCTCTTGGCAAGCCTTAAAGATGTCGATAAGACCTCCAGGCCGACTCCAGTCAGCCTTCTTTCTCATCCTTTTCTTCTGCAGCACTTTAAGAGGAACAGAATAATGGGTACAAAGGATAGCAGATAATCATCTGTTCAAGCTAACAGGGTCTCACCTGTGTTGTAGGATTGCCCAGGATGGGATGTGAAGCACACTATTTCCAAGTGAGGAAACTGGGAGGTCATGTAGTGTTTCCAGGCAATCACCAGTGGAGGGGGACATAGGTCAGCTTTGTTCAACACCAGAATCATCTGCTTATGCAGGTCTGCTGTTATGTAACGGTACAGATCAGGAGGAAACTGCAGCACCTGAGTGGTCATAGAAACACACATTTTACTTTTAAGAGATGCTTACCAGGTAAATGATTATCAATTAGCACCATCTGAAACAGGAGGAGTTTTACTGACAGTGACTCAGCCTAGTGGCCTGATCCATTATGACAGCCTCACTTAACAGGCTCACCTACCGGGTGCCTTATATCAACGATAACAAGGATGACATCAGACATTTCCAAAACCCTCCACAGCTGTCTCCATGTCTGAAATTAGGATAAGAGAAAACATAAAAATAAAACAGTGATTAACAGTAAAGCTTTCCAGACTTTCCTTCTAGAACATCACCAGTTTTCAGGTGTTCTTCTGAGACCTAGGCCGTGTCCAAATGTCCGTCCTAATCACCATATAGAGCACTATATAGTAGAAAAACCATTTTAAATGAGTGTCCCAACGTCTAGTGGATGAAAAATTAGTGGCCTAAAAAATTTCCCACTATGCACCTTAAAAATTAGTGATCATCCATGGTCACTAGACGAGCAGATATATTCCGAAATGCTTTGCAAGAGCTCTCCTCGCAAAGCATTATGGGATTTGCTGTCAGAGTGGCCCGCTAACAACAAAGATGGCATAGGCACTGCGTGGTGGAAGTGGAGTTACGTGACCAACGGGGAGTGCAAAGTAGTGATCACCTGTCCAAACGGTCAGTTAACTGAGTTTGCTATAAAGTCCACTATATAGTCCCCGCTTTATATAGTGATTGAGGGATTTAGAGGTAAGAGCGGATGTTTGGACACAGCCCTAGTGTATGTGGCAGAATGTTAACGCAGCTGTACTAAAAAAAAATGTCCTTCTACTGTCCAACTGGGCAGTTACCATAATAAAAATAACAATAAAAATTAACGAAAATGAAAAAAAAAAACAAAGTCAAGACATAAAGAAGCCAAGTTGAGGAACTTTATGATATGTTTAGCAGAGGCATCCCCAAAGTAAGCCCTCGAGGGCCGCTCTCCTGCAGGTTTTAGAGATTTCCCTGCTCTAGCACAGCTGATTTACATTGATAGTTGATTAAAGGGCTTTTACTGGACTGCAATCATCAGAATCAGCTGAGCTAAAGCAGAGAAACCTCTAAAACCTGCAGGACAGCTGCCCTCGAAGACCGACTTTGGGGATGCCTGGTTTAGCAAATAATGAAACGAAAAGTTATTCGCCAAACAGACATATCTTGGGCCTCATCTTCAGTAGCCTGACGTAGTCCGACTCAATTCTAGTCAGAATATGAGTCTGATACTGCTCCATAGAGCTGTGATTATGGGGCGTGTTTTGAACGAACCAGGAAAAAAAAATGCCTCTGCACTCAATTGGATAGACCTACAACCAATAAGAGCAACGGAGTGCGTGACGTATCTTAAGCGAGGCATAGTTGTTGTCCACAAAAATCAAAGCGTGCAGTTTCACGCCTAGAATAAGAAGATGAGACTTGATCGCGTTTCTCTGTTCCTCTTTTAAAATTAATTTGCTGTCGATATCTTCTAGAACAGACCTAATAGCAGAATCTACTCACCCAAACTCTCCAGCGGCAGCCATTATTGTTGTCACCCAAGCGCGCTTTGGTCACGTGGTTGATAACGTTACTCTTGATCATCTGTCCATCATCGTATAAAGCCCGCCCTGACAATTTGATTGGATCGCCTGACAGTGGGCTTTAATACTCGCGCTACTATGGAGCAGAGCCAGACCGAACTTCCCCGAAATTAAACCTTGTGGGCGGGACTAAGTTCGGACTGGCACCCAGGCTACATCTTCAGATGAAAAAGAAGAACTACAACTAGCATGACGATCATTTTTTATTTTATTTTATTAATTTGTTTAATTTTTTTGACAGGAACGAGAACACATTAATTAGCATAGCTGGAAACACACCAGAAATAGCCAAGAGGCTATTTTTCATCTGTTGTCCCTGATCTATCCGTGATGCCTTTGTGGTCCAGAATCTAGTCTTAACTTCCTCAGGATGTGCATGATTTTGCACCTTTTTCATGATTAGCATTTAGAAAACACAAATTATTTAGAAAACACAAATTATCATGTTATTTGTAGAAACTACATCATATTTAGGCGCAACATGCTACTATTTATGAAGTGTATGTTAAATAAAAGACTTGTTCTTCTCTTGTTCTTCTAGATGTATGAATAAGTGGCTGTTTTCCACTGATTCTTTATATCAACTTATACCACTTGTTCTCAAGGGTCGAAAATTTAAAGCTGTTGTATTAGTGTTATTTAAGAGCCTCAGAAAATAGAAAATATTAGACATTTCTAAATGTGCTTATAGGAACTTACACCTATCAAGCTAAAAACCACCAAAATATCACCAAAACCTGCTAGTTTCTGGGAACTTTATATATATGAAGAAAAAAAACATACTAGTAAAATTTCAATGGAAGTGATCCTATAAAACAGCAAAATTGTGACTTAAAAAAAAAGTATGCATATGCAACTTTGTTTGGACAACAAAGGTAGAGTTGGAACATACACAAAAAAATCTCATGTAGCTTTTTTTTTTTTTTTTTTAAATGTGACTTTAGGAAAAAGAAAATCCAAGTCAACCACTGGATTATGTAATAAATATTTTTTAGTGGCAGTCCACCACGGGAAAAAAAGTTTACCTCTAGATTGTGCTCAAAGTGGCTGAGAGAGCCCGGTGGGTTTCTGGAGTGCAGTTCTTCCAGGTAGTCTCTGAATGACTTCTCCTCTTTCCTCATTAGGCTCTCTCGAGACATCTCATAAGTCCAAGATGGTCGTCGCGGGAAGCCAAGACCTGGTGGAGGATGATTAAAACTCAGCAGGTGAAGAAGTGACTCATAATCTCACTGCTCATCTAGGGGCTTTGGAGATATATCATAAAAATATAATAATCAGACCTTTCTCTGAAGGGTAGATTTCATTTATGTTGACCTCGAGTTCTTTATCAGAAGCCGGTTTCAACACCGTCTCCATGGCCAGCTTCTTCCTCCTTATCACCTCCTCTTTACTCTCTTTCTCAAAGTGAAGCCGAAACCTTGGAGAAAAAATATCAAACATGACAAAAATCTTATTTTGTCAAAATCTAAACAAGGGTTAAGCAGATTAGTCTCCAATATTTACCATTTCACCATATCTTTAATGATATCAACAATAGGCTGGTGAGTATGGGTTACTCATCAGAGCAAATAGAATACAATCTCTTTTAATAGGACTGCATGTAAAGCTGTTCTAATGCAGGTCTCCGGTGAAACAATGCTGCAGCAATGAGCGCAAAAGGGAGCCTTTCATTTCTTAAAAAAAAAAAAAAAACCTTAAGAAAAAACTCACCTGTTTGGATCATGTCTACCATCTCTGCCAAAGGGCTGCTGATTTATTCTTCTAATATCTGTGGTTTCACTATCTGAGGTGTCGGACTGACGCTCTCCTCCTCGCTCCACGCTGGCATTGCGGCTGCTTGGGCCAGAACCTGTGTCACCTAGAAGATGAAGTTATCGTCACACTCAAACCAAAATGAACCAGTAAATTCCCCCCCCCCCAAACAATTAGTTAACTAATAACCCATACTATATAACTACTTTATTTCAGCTTTCTCTAACCCAGAACCTCTTTAAAAAAAAAAAATAAAAATAAAAAAAAAAAAAAGAGAGACAGTCATACAGCTACAAAGTCTTCATCAAACCTTAAACCATTCAATATTGTGTTACGTTACAAGCAGATTTTGAAAACTTAACAAGGTTTTACGGAGAGAAAAGCCTCTCGTTCAGTCTTAAGTTGATTTTTTTTTTAATCCAGGCCTGCCATGTGTCCAGCTTTTTTCACTCCGAAGAGTTTTCCTGTCTCTGCTGGACAAATGCCACTTCATAAAATAATGGTGCGACCACCATGGTTTAATGTTGGGCTGACATGTTCCTCACAATGTGCAAGGTTAGTTTTTACTATACATATACTTTGTGTTTGCACGTTTGTTGGCTTTGCAACATGGCTTGTGATAAACATAAACAAGATTCAAACAGCCTTTTATCTTTCCACTCTTTGCAAGACTCCTGTCAACACATTCTCCCACATTAGCAGCAGATTGGTGCAATTCCTCTAGAGTTACCTGCTGGCTGCTTCACATGATGATCTTCTTTTCTGACTGTACCCATAAGTTAATGTGGTGTCTCCAAATGTGCTTTAATATGTTGTTCATAAAACACTCAGTCGACATATTAGGTGGTTAGATGAATTTGATAAAATCATTTAAGGAACTGTTGTGTCTTGTGACAACATATAATGAAAATATTAGAAATAACTTAATTATTATTATTATAATTATTCTTTTAAGTACTAGTAAAATGTTTCTTTAAGTTTTGTGACAAACTTTATACAAGGGCATTGCTTGTTTTGGTGTTTACACTATACACAATACGTAATGTCTGAATTAGCGTAATATCAGTCAGGTGTCATCTGTAAAGCCTAAGGGATATTTAAAGATATTCTCCACAATATTCACCTTGGAGTGAAACTGAACGGAAGGCGATGCATTAAGCAGCCGCTCGTAAAGTCAAAACAGTGTTATCCTGTAGAAAAACTCGCTTCATAACACATGGAGTAACAGTCACTACACTGTTTACAAACTTCACAGCATAGAAAAACGTGCTCCATTGACTCCAGACTATCAACTGTAATTCAGATCATAATTTATTCAGTAAAACCCTACTAAGCTTAAGTTTGTTATTCAACTTGGACGCTAAGTTACAGTATGAGTGAAACGATGCTGTCTAAACAAACATCAGCGCACCTTTACATTCATCAGACTACATTATTGTAGCGATGTCCCAAGAAACCTTTAGCGCAACCTTTTACCACGGAGGGACACTTTACCACAACAGAATTCGGATGTGGAGCTAACGGCTAACGTTAGCATGCTAATGCTAACAGCAACTAAAACGTTAACTTACCTCTCTTTCTTTCGCGTTTGACCTGCAACTGTTTCTTCTTCTGTTTGTTACTAAATGGCTTTTTCCGCGGCATTGTCAAAAACGTAGGAGAACACTGGTGAATGTATCTAATACTGCGTGTCGCTGTTCTGTGTAGCCATGCAGCTTTATAATTGCCGTTATTTACATGAGTGAAGTTTCTGGACTCCTACACTTTTTTTTTGTGACGCAACACCCACTGCAGACTGCGGAGAATGTTGGACGAAACCAAACTGGAGGGTCTACCAAAACCTTCGTTTTGGTTCTTATCATACTTTTTGTCTACAAAAAAAATATCTTTTTAAGTTTTAAAAGGGCGATAAGCTGTCGTTGAAAGTCAAATGAATCAGAAAAAACAACTACCATACATCGCCTCTCCCCCGCACTTATGGTACAACCCACCTTTGTAAACACCTAATAAATGTGCACATTCCAGTAGACACGCTTTAACCACCTTGGAAGGTCGTTGTCCTAATTAAACAAATCATACGCTTATCTGTAGTTTTATAGGCATTATTAAATCTAGATTTTATTTATTAGGCGTGCTTTCTGTGCGGATGACCAAAAGTCAAAAAAGAAAAATTTCAAAAATATCTTTATATTTAACAATCATGTTTCAGTGTCTAAAAAGCTCAAAACACAATTTGATTGTCCATACAAAAAGGTAATTTGGCCTACATAATCTGTTAGATGACTCCCATACAGCAAATGTAACACAACATCATAAACATTCCTTGTAATTTAAACTAAGATTTGATCTGCACTAAGCCGTACAGTAATGAAATATTAAAATGGCATAAAATAGCAAATTTTTAAGAAGGAATTCTAATCTCTAGTGTTTTTAAAATGTAACAAGTATTTAAATTTACATTTTGGGGACTTTCCTTCCGCTCAAAATATTTTGAATTTTTTTATAAAAATATAGAACTGTCTAGATTGAAGTGAATTAAATTACTTAATATAGATCTCCAAAAATGTGTGGCAGTGTTCTCAGAGTATAGAATGAGAATTGATGCAAACTATTTCTAAAGTGTTTTTAGATCTACAGCATCTTTAACAGGAATTCAAATATCCTAAAAGACCTTTTCCACTCATACACTCTGGATATTTTGAATACAATTCCCTCACTGACAAATGGCTTATCTCCGATTCACGTGTTGTCGTATTTCTACTTTAGGTGTCTTTTAGCCACGATATTCCTTTTTTCAAGAGACACTGATGGAAAAAAAGGAGAAAAAAAGACCACAACCCAAAAAAAACAGCAAAAAGAGATATTTCTGTTTCTGCTATTCGCAGTGTAGATTTCTCCAGTTATACGTTTCCTTTTACCTTCTTCATGATAAATTCTTTATTAAGACATTGCTTATATATTGGTATTTTTTTTCTTAAGAAATTTGCTGCCAGTCTTTCAGTCCAGATAGATTTTTCTTAAGTCATGACAGTAATCGTTCATTTCAGGGAAGGGTTTTCAGCAGGAAAATAGATAGATTGGTACAATCAAATTTGGGGTCAATTAATGAATCAAGTAAAGGGTTTTCCATAGAGAAATGTCTTGGTGTTTTTAAGATAGTTTCAACAACTACTCTATTCCTGTTTCCCCTTCTGACCCTGTTAATATTGTAGCAATTGAAGCCAGTTAATAAAAAAAAAAAGATATACTGGACATAATTACAAAAGCGTATACTTTAAAACTCCCCACGGGTAAAAAAAGATTTGAGGCAGGGCTTCCTAATAGGTCTTCTGCAAAACCGAATAAATTATTATGCATAACATCAGATATTAATTCCAGTAAGCTTTCCACTCAAAAATATAAGAAAACTAAATAAGCCTTTTATATTCTTTATTGTATTTTAAGCATAAAGAACAGCTGCACAAACTTTAAATGAATCAATGTTTTGTAAAGATGTATTATAAACATTGTTAATGCAGAAGTATTATACCAAGAACACATTAAGATAACCATATCTTATGGATATACACACACAAAGTAGTACACTTGATTACATGACACAAGAAGCTGTGTTTTTCTTCAAAGGTCATGTCAAGTTGCAAGTAAATTTATCTTTTAATTCATTAGATATTTGAATATAATGAAGTGGTAGTATATAACTTTATATACTTGATTGTTTTTTGTATTTATTTTTTTTTTTGCTTAAAAGGAAATAAAACTTTAGTTTCCTTTCAAGGTTTAAAAGATCCAAAGCATGAAGCTATGCGAAAGCCGAGGCCAGAACACTGATGTAAAAACTAAAAGTTTGTTTGAAAGTATAAAAAATTACCTTCACAGTTAACAGCCCATTTCATCATTGCTATGGTCAAACCTGTGTTAGCTTGGAAGATCGTTTGGTGGAGGCAACAGAAAGGAACACGTTTTCTTAGACAGATCCGACATAAACCATCACTGTGATGGACTGAAACACACTTAGTCTTTGAATGCAGATTCCACTCAGACAGAACAACTAAGCAGAGAGGAAACTAAGAAAAATTGGAGAAATAATAAAAAAAGTAAAAATAATTCATCAGCATAACTTGTCAGCATATATCTTGTCATGTTTGCCTCAATTCTTTAATCAGGCACAGTCATGCATTCCAAAGTTCATGTTATCGTAGTATTGCTTTAATCCTTTGACTCTCCATCCTCCATTTGTCTCAACGTGAATCAAGTACCTCCAAAACACCTTCCTTCTTTCCTTCTCTCTAGGAGTTGAGGTGTTCCACTTGAATTGTGGATGCTGACACGGTGAGACAGAGGTCTTTGTGGGAAGTGATGTCAGCCACGCTGACTGGTTTGTACTGGATGTCTCCGGCAGATACAGTCTTATACTGATGCAGGTCAAATGGACAAGGCATGGTTTCTGTCTGAGGGTAGTTGTTCTGGCTTTGTCCTTGCTGACCTCCGCTTGCAGCTCCGCTCCCCGCGCCTCCAGGCCGGCGCGACCCTCCATCTGTGCTCTCCACACGGCTCTGAGCTCCAGCCTGGCCCTGGGCCTGGCTTTGGCTCTGTTGCGCTGACTGTGCTGCAGAGACTGCAGGAGCAGTCAACTGGTCTGGGTTGTGTTTCTCCATGTGTTTCACCAGATAGGTCTCCTGAGATGAAGGGAGGATAGGTAAAGGGGAAACAGTGGACACATGACTACACGGTGTAAAGTAGCTGCCAGGCGTCTGATGCCAGTGCGGCGTTTCAAAGTGTTTCATGTAGAAATGCTCTTCAGAAATGGACATTTGTCTTACTGATGTATAGGAGCGACTGCAGAGCCCACACGAGTAGATCTTGGCGTGTTTGACAGTGTGTGTGGACATGTGCACCTCCAGGCTGGCTGCATCTATGTATCCTTTATTGCAGTTGGGACACTTGTAGGGCTTATCTTTGTTGTGCTGACGCCGGTGGGACTGGGAAAAAAAATATATAAAAAATAAAAATAAAAACAGCCAAAAGAAAAATCCAATGTTAAATATTTATTACATGTTTAAAATAAACCACTTAATTTCACACCTGCAAATTTGAGAGTTGCGTGAAGGACTTCTCACAGCCTGGATGTGTGCACTTGTAAGGCCGATCCCCGGTGTGAATTCTGGATAAAATTTAAAAGAAAACACAAACAAACAAACATGTACACAGACTCTTCTGACAGACAGGTAGGTAGGTGAGAAACCCAAGACGAGAGCTGAGCTTACCTGCTGTGCTGCTGGAGGTGACTGAGCTGTCTGAAGCACTTGTCGCAGTACGAGCAGGAGTAAGGTTTCACTCCAGTGTGGATGCGGAGATGTTGAGCCAGGTAGCTGGAGTTGGCGAAGGACTTAGTACAGTGGGGACATTTGTGGGGTTTTGACTCTGTGTGGTTCCTGATTAAGGACAGACAGGAAAATTAAAGTGTCGAAGAAGAAAACATTCGTGTCAGCTTTCATTTTTAATTCAACATTATGGAGATATCTGTCATAGTCAATATGACATTTAAATAATGAATGAGCAAAGTATGCCTTTTTTAAATGCCATGAACCTCTTCTTAGGCATGTAAATTAATACGTTTATAACTATAAAATTTACATTTTAATAATATTAAGTCACCTAAAAAAAGCTAAGAGTGCAAAAGGTATTTATTGTGCAAATAAAAAAACAAAGATAATGAGTGGATGGACGGTCAAAGGGATGGCAGATGAATAAATAAAGAGATGACTAAATATTATCAGTAAATTGCTGAATGACAAGATAGATGGAAAGCGATACAACTGGATAGATTGACAAATGCATGATTTGGAAGATGGAAAGATTGACAGATGCATAGAGGCCAAATAGATGGATGAGAAATTGAGAGTGATAGATGTAAAAACAGGTGGCTGGAATAACAAATAATTTTTTTGAAGGATGGATGATGGAAAAACAAATACATAGATGGATAGATGTTTCTGCTAAATGCATAAACACAAACATGGCAGACTGCTGGATAGTTTATGGGAATGGGATGATAGATTGACAAACAGACATGGAGGAATGTAAAAAGAGATTGATGGATAGATTAATCTAACAGATGGTGATTTTGCAAATAAAGATTAGGAATTAGACGCCCCCTTCATTTTAACCAGCTGTTTTCAGACAGGTGGATGAATGCAACCATTTTAAAACAGTAAACATCTACTGTACAATAATCACAACACATCTGATGAAGTTATTTATGTTTTCCAAAGAAAGTCTGTCTAAGCTAACACTTCCAAAAAACCTTCTGCTATATTTTATCATTAAAGCTTTGATAATAAAAGTGTTAGGTGTTAAATAAATTGCCCTTTATTCAAGACCACCCATAATGTTGTGGAAAACGTGACAAATAAGGCTCCAAAACACTGGAGCAGCTGAACATCTTGATTCTTACAACTATTACTGCTTGTGTAAAAACAGGGACGATGCCACAGATTGGTAAATAAGACTGTGACCCAAACTATTTTAATACTGGTTTCAGTGATCATATAAAAAGCAGCATTTGTTTGAGATAAGTCTTGGGACCCCCCCCCCAGATTTACGTGTTTGAAAATTACTTTCAATCAATACAACAAATGACAGAATGAAGCCAGAGCTTTGCACAGAAAAAAAATCAAATTCTAAAATAAAAAGAATGAACAAAATAAAACAGTGCAGTAAGCATAACATAGAACATCGAACAAAACATAATAAAAAGTGCTGAAATAAATAATGAGGGGGTGAGCCAGTGCTGCTATTTCACATGTATTTGTGGGTGCGTGTGTCTATTGATGTGGCAGAAGATGACAGAACATGCAGAGAAACAAACAAAAACACATAAAAGCAAACAAAGAAGGAAATGTCTGATGCAGTGCAAACAGCATAATGTGCAGAAAGAAAGAAAATGAGGGAAAGTATTATTACTGAATTAATACGACATAGCGCCATACGTTTTCAATTTCCTGTCTAAATGTTGTCCTAATTATGTAAAACCTTATTAGCGAAATTTGAAACCTAATTGCAAAGGTAACAACAAGTATGCCGTATGCTTCTGCACACTATTCTCTTGTTGTCCCTAAAAAAAACAAAAAAGGACAGCAATCTGGGCTCCAGGAGGAACTCAGCAGGACAGGTTAAAAGGACAGAGACACAGACACGGACAAATTTGTTGGTACCCTTACAAATCTAAACAAATGCTACATATCTTTTAAGAAACTCTTAAACAGGATGCCTTAAGCATTTGATAGAATATAACGACTGAAAAATAACGCAATTGTTGTCATTTTACAAAGATAATGGCATGGACAAATTTGCTGTTGCCTGTGATGACTTTAGTCATGTGTCAGACTAATGGTTAAACTTAATGAAGGGGCCTAGGAATTTTTTTTCTCTTTTAAGCATTTCAGGCTACTTTCATGGCAAAATTATGCTGCAGAGTAGTTTGGTCATGTTTACACCGCAGTTAAGATGACCTAAATAAAGGAAGGACAAGAAGCTGCATGAGGAGCTCAGCAAGACGATTGTGCATCTAAAACTCAAATGTCATTAAGAAGCTGATTGATTTTAGTGGTTTAGTTCAAAAAGTCATTAAGCTTTACTATGCACACGTTTATTATCTTGTTTTTCAAATTTAACGATTACAGATTACAGTATAAAACTTCAAACACAGTTTCTCAGACAATCTGAAAATAACAAAAAAATAAATAAATACAAATTTTACACAAAAATGTTTTAGCTCACACAATTACCAGCAAGACTGCTTAATAGTTGCCCATCAAAAGTAACACTCTCTTTAAAATGCTATTGCTAAAGAAGCCAGATGTTCCCAGTGGTATATACTTGAAAATTAAAGGGCAGGAACTGTTTCATTCATAGTATCACCTGGGAGAAGGAGAACAAGGACTGATTTACTGATCAATAATCTTCTTTAAATCAAAGTCCATATCTAAGTTTAAGATTGAAAGGAAAGTTTCCACTCAGTAGATATTGGAGGAACCGTATCTTCTGCTGGTGTTGGTCCACTGCATTTTCACATGTCCAAAGTTGGTGTAGTCAACCACTGTGCTGTAGTCAACCCTTGCATGATTCCCCTCTACTGATAAAATGATGGAAATACTTATTTGATCTCCAGCAGGACTCACCATCTGTCCACCTGATGATACCTGCTCTGATCTATGGTATTACTGAGCTTGCCTGTGTGGAAGGCCACAGAGGATATTCAAAGTATTGTCTACATCATGGATTCCTCATGTTGGGGTAGTGACCCCAATTGGCATTCTTAATCAACTAGTACGAGATCTTGAGATTCACCACAGAAATTATATCAAGCAATAAAAAATCCTTAAAGTTACAAAAGAATCACTTAAAAATGGAAAAAAGCAAAACAAATTTAGTGATGGATTCTTTTTGTAAAATTATTGTTCCCATCGATAAATTATTTTTTAGACATTTTTGTATACTCATGAGACAATATTGGTATCATTTTGTCAATCAGAAGTTTAAAGGTTTCTGAACCTCTTGTTTATGGGAAGATTATATACACTAGAACAAACTATGCGGATAATCTTAAAACAGCTATCAAAGCAACCTAGGCTTCCTTAACACCCCAGCAGAATTGCAGGCTGGTTGCCTCTGTTTCAAGTTGCATTAATGTAGTAATTCATGCCAGGTGAGCCCATCAAAGTATCAAGTTTATATCCTGTGCAGTATATGGATACACTGTTCAGCAGGCTGAGATTTCTCCATTAAATATGATTAGTACATTTAGTTAAATAATATTTGGTGAGTAACCTTACTTGAGATTTTCACTTGACAAAATTGTTAGAATAGACAGAAATAAACGCTTAAGTTACACAGCTGTTTCTGTCTAAATCAAGATATTACCTTAGTTTCAATTTCTGAATAATTATATTCAGAAAGTGATATTTAAAGGGTATGGCTCATGAGAGAAAGCGAACTTTCCAGAGAAAACTGTGTGATAGGAAATTAAAAAAATGCTTCTGTCACAAAATCAGGTGCATTTTGACACATAATTGGCTATCAAGGAAGGAGACTTGTAAAACCTCAGACACAAAAAAAAAAAAACAGAGAAGCTGAGAAAATTGTTCCATGCTCACAGAAAAACTGGAGCTTATTGTCCAATCACAGCAACTATACTTGCTGCCACGTACCTTTGAAAGACAGTTAGGGCTTGGTTTAATAAGGAAGTCTTTACTGTACCCAACATCAGAAACCTTAAAGGGGTCTTAGAATGCAAAACTGAGTATGTATTGTCATAGATGCATAATGATAGTTCAGTGGGTGAAATGGACGTTCAAATCCCATTGACACCTCCTTTCTCTGCAAATCTCACAATTCTAAACTCCCACCATAAAACAGGCAAATCCAAACGAAGCTGTTGCCTTATTTGGTTCTGGCCTGTACTTTTGTCACACCCTGAAATTAACTTACAGACCTGCCCACTGGTTCACTGGCCCAAGATCATGAAGTGAGGTAGATGTAAGACACCAGTTTAGCTGTTTAGCCTACAGTTGGGTTTACTCCTACAAGATTTACAAAGTAGGCAGTATCTCCATTGAAAATGAGCCAGAACCACGGGCATGAATGCAGTGTCCCAGGCTTCCCGAGGATCCGAAGACTCAACAGGCATGGATTATTTTTTGTGTATCAGAAGATTCCTGCGAAGTTTGGTGCTCAGCTGTTCATTTGCTCTAAGCATTTGACCAAAGACGACTTTCAAAATCTTGGACAGTTCAAAGCAGGATTTTCTAAACTTCATTTACTGAAACAAGAGGCTGTTCCGACCGTAAGGCCATCACAGCCGCAAGCTGTAAGTGCTATTTTGTCGCTAAGCTGTTGATAGCAATGCTAGCATATCTATGGTGACCAGATTTGGGTTTCTGAAAAGAACAACACTTTATTTTTTTGTAGTGGACTGCTGGGCAGCTGACTGTAGTCGACCAAAATCCCGGACGATCTTGAAATCTCCCCCAGACATTTTTTAAGGTATGAAAAGTAGGACATGTGCGGGAAAAAGAGGACGTTTGGTCACCCTAACATATCAACAATTTGATGTTTCAGTGAGTGAGTGCTTGTTGCTATCATGCCTCTTTGCACAGCAGCTTCGTTCGTTGTAAACCAACCAATCAGCGCACAGCTCATCGAAATATTTATGAGCATACCATAAAAGGAAGAAAACCTGTTGTTTCATTCTAGGGCTTACAACCAGGCTTACATTAGGGCTCATAGAACAGCAAATATGCCATTTTCAGCCCAACCAATGTTACACACCCGATTCAAAGACCTTAAGAAGCATCTCCAAATACCCTATATAATCATTCTATGATCCCTTTAAATCTATGCAGCGTTCAGTTAATTCACAGGATTATAAGGCATCCTAGAGCAACTAGAAATAAAATACATTTTTGTCCATGCCATTTAATGTTTTTACGGAAATAGTATTAAGCCGATAGAATAATAGATAGTAAAGTCTAATTTGTATTATATTTGAAAGATCAAAAAAGATTTTTTATTAACTTTTTGTGAGTTTCAAGTTGTTTCATAGATATTGTTTTGGTTAACTGAAGAAGGGTAGCACCAAATCTCTCTGTGTCTGTGGTATGGGATGGGAAGATATACTGGAGAAAGGAAGGGCGGGGTCTGCAGTACCGTGTGTGCTGCTGTAAATGACTGAGCTGCCTGAAAGATTTCTGGCAGTAGGAGCAGGTGTAAGGCTTGGCCCCGCTGTGGATGCGGATGTGCTGGGCCAGGTAGCTCGAGTTGGCGAACGACTTGGCGCAGTGAGGACACTTGTGAGGTTTGGCCTCTGTGTGCGACTTGGAGTGGATCTGCATGTCAGACTTACTGAAGAAGGTCGCCGCACACATCCGGCACCTACAGGCGGAGAGACACAGAAATGGGAGGCCAGGATGGAGGAAGGGGAACCAGAACGAAGGAAATAAAACCAGGGGGAGAAAAAAAAAAGTAGTCGGGTTGGGAAAGCAGGAAGTGGAAGACAGAAGGAGGAGGAAAAAGGAGCAATGGATCAATTAATTAGGATAGAGGAGAAAGTAAATCATAAAAGAAGAAACTTTAAAGATAAGAGTTGGGTTATGAATGTTACACACATCCAAACAACACAGACATATGTTAAAAGGAACATGTAGTACAAAAAAAGAAAAAGTTCAACAGATATAAAACAGAAGAAGAAAGAACTATATACAGACAAACAGAAGAAGCGAGGCTGATGTGCAGCTGTGCAGAAGCAGAGAGTACCTACGGAGCAGCGATGTGTTTGTGTTTGTAAAACATTATAAAGCATCTTAAATAAAGACTCACGTCCTGCCAAAACATGCAGAAAATGAAATGTTCAGAAGTGCTACTATGCATGTTTGTGTCTGTGTCAGCAGCGCCTAGTTCCTCTAGAAAAGCTTAACATCTATGCAGCCAGAGCGGGGATGCACAGCGAGGCTTTTTATTTAAAACCATACCTGTATGTCTTGGTAGAGTCTTTATGACCATGTTCTTCATCTTCATTAGACAGTTCATATGGATCTCCAGCATGGTGCTGTAATGATGACACCTTTCACAAACAAAAAAGGGTTTTCATACGTTTTTTTACTACAACTGAAATCTCCAATTACCCCCATTGGTTATTATCTTACCTGTCCGGCAGCTGTCATGTGTGTCAGTATTAGCGTGTCATTGCCTGGTCCACCCAGAGTCGTAACTCTAGACAGCATGGACTTCTTCTTTCTCCCTCTTTTGGACTGTGAGGGCATCACAACCACATGTGATGCCCCATCTCCTTCTTTCTTGTCTACAACAAGATGACATTTTAACTTAGCAAAGAAGAACAAGAACAGTATGATATTTAAAGCCAAAGCCCATATTTCTACAAGCTACAATTCCATTCTATCCTCATCCTATGTGAAAGAGTTTGACGCTTTTTTAAATGTAAATAATATCTAAACCACACTACATTTTATCTACAGGTCTTAGAAACTCACAGGAGAAATATAAACCTCTATATCAACACTGCAACAGAATTCATATAAATCTTAACCAGATCTCATGTATCTCTTATTTGGCTGCTCTGACCATTTGGGGGACCAGGTGTCTGAAGTGAGAAATTATAACCAAAGACTGTCAAGCGTTTATCAAATATGAGAAAAAATATAAAAGTGAGACAATGAAGATGGAAAAAAATATTTATGCAAATATACATAGTCAATTTAAATGCTTTAATGCTACAAATTCTACAACAGTAAGTTTATATTTGACAAAACTCATACGTTAACTCAAAAGTTATAATAAAAAAAGGTTGTGTTACAAAACATATGTACTTAGTGCGTTTTGTGCTCACTTGCACACAATACTTTTAGTCCTCTAAGCTGCACAATACTTGTGCATTCTCAGCACACAAATGAAATCTATCATCAAATCAATCATCAAATCATCATCAATCATCAAATAAAATCCAACATAAACTGTAAATCAGTTAGCCCAACAACGATTTTTTTCTGCATCATTATGAATCTGTTTACTTTTTGTTTTTCAACCTAAAACAAACAATGAATATATGAGAAACAGCTAATTTTTCCCCCATGAATTTCATTGTATAATATAGAGAAATGGAGAGCACCTATTTTTGCTCGTCATACAAAATTAAATGTATTGAAATTAAATACAAATTAATGAATTCATCTATTTTTATTTCATTTGGGCACTCATAGCACTCATATTTATGACTGCTATCACAAATTAGTTCAATCTGTTGGATGCTAGACATTCCAGCCATCCTGGTCCATGACATAGCTACTCTAAGTTTAAAATATCTCTATCAAGTCAGTTTTATAATCGTTTGCAAATCTAGAATCGGTTTGCTAAAGCCATGATATCCAACATGCACATAGTTTAAGCTGCACCTGTTGACCGGGCACCGCAATGCTCAGAGTGACAAATACGTAAAAGGAGGTCAGTCAATCAGCAAATTCTGCACTGTGAGGAGCTAGAGGAGATCTAACAGTTTGTTGATATTTTTGCTACATTACAAGCATCCAGAGCCAATTGTGAAAGATTTAGTTCAATGGTGCCCCACCCTGGTCCTCAGGGACCCCTTCCCTGTAAGTTTCAGATAGGTCTCTTCTCCAGCACACCTCATTCAAATGAGGGCTCCTCAGAAGCAGTCAAGTGCTGCAGAGCATGTTAATCCATTTTTTTTGGAGTGAAACAACAAAGAAACACCTAAAACATGCAGGACAGGGGTCCCTGAAGAACAGGGTTGGTAACCACTGATCGTTTATATGAAAATTATCCAAACAGCATCCAGAAATAATCTTCACGTGGCACACTTAGACAATCATTGGAGAAGTGAAGAGTGACAAATAGATTCAATTGTCACATTTGTTCATATTCTTGTGATATGTATTAACATTTTTTATGGATATTAATCATGAAATGCTTACTTTATTAAATAATTTAGGTTAGTAGAAATGCTAAAAAAAACTGTGTAATTAGATATTTTACAGAAATGTATTCTATATCACAAGCTTCAGCACGTATTTCATTGTACAAAAACGTGTTTTAATGTGAACCAAAAGTAATGCCTAAAATGGTATGTCTCATTTCTTTCAGAGCAGGAACCTGGCCAAAGCATGACCGATTTTTTTTTAATTTTTTTTATTTAAAATGGGGGGCGGGCAGAATTATTGAATTACAGCAAGAAGGCTGGGTTCCTTTCCCTGCCCAGGGTGTGGGCTGTTAGGTTAATCGGCTTCACTAAATTGTCCTTAGGTGTGAGTGTGTGTGCATGGTTGTGATTCTCTTTGTTGTGCTAAGACAGACAACCTCTCCTGGGTGTACTCCACATTTTGCCCATAGACCGCCAGCCCCACTGCGACCCTGACAGAACAAGCATGAGATAATGGATTTAAAGTATGCAGTTTCACTTAAATGAACCTCATGGAAATTGCTTCTGTAATCTCTTTTTCAAATAAGCCATGTAACTTTCTATGATTCGTGGTTTATAAGAGAGTAATAGTGATGTGTCACAACAGCATGCACATCTGAAGTTGCTCACAGTGGTCCTGAGTGTATTTAGGAGGTTTGTGTGTGTGCCCAGGCTCATTAAGACCATGCAAAATTATTTACTTAGGTAAAAAGGTTAATTAATACAGATTTCAATTTATGTTAGACAGGTAGGCTAATGTGAATATGACAACTAAATCATAGTTTATAATTGTGCAGGTTAGGCTTGTCCCGATCCGATCCACGTATCGGATCGGACGCCGATACTGGCAAAAGAATGCGTATCGGCAAAGAATGTAAAAATGCCGATCCAGACTGCCGATCCAGTTTAAAAAAAAATCTGGTCCGTATTTTCCAGTTTCGCCAATTGAAACGATCCATTCCACTATTTTGCACCAGTGTTCCCCGAATCCGGTCCGCATTTTCCAGAACACCTTCAACACACCCACAGGTCTTTTTGGGTCTGTCTCCCGGCCTAACCATTAAAACAGGTGAATTGGAAGATAGCGGGGGCCGTGTGGGATTATTTTATCCTGCACGATGTGTAGATGGAGACTAGGTGTGGAGGAGATTGGGGAGTATAAGGCATTTTTGTGTAATAGTTCACTGTTATTTGCACTGATTTTTTTTAAGCAGTGTCTTTTTTCAAGAGTAGAGTCCTGATTCTAAGTTAATAGAATATTTTCCACTCTTGTCTGTTTTGCATTTTTATTAAAACTTACAGTAATACTTGCACCTTTAACTGTTTACGATTTTACTGTTCACTGTGCAATTTCAGATTGCTATTCATAATTTTGTCCAGTTTGTGTTTATCTCTTAACAAACAGGTAAGTTTGTTGTTACCAATCATTGTGTTTTATTCAATCTCACCTAATTCAGCTGGCTAGATGTTATCAAGAGTACTAAAACCCTTTTCAACATGAGTCTTACAACTAAGGCTAAATACTTTAACTTAAATTTAAATACATGCTTGAATAGGCTGGTATCGGCCAGTATCAGTATCGGATCGGAAGTCCAAAAACAATATCGGATCGGAAGCGCAAAAACCTGGATCGGGACATCTCTAGTGCAGGTAATTAAAAATTCATTGCACATTTGAAAGCAATGTTTGTCTTCCCCTAACTATTTGTCACCTTGTGCTTCATGATTATTTAAAACAGTTGCCCCCAATCTTATTTGCGCCACAAGCCCTTTTAATGTCAGACAATATTTTTCCGGATGTGTAGCGATAGTACTCTCCGGTAGCATTAAACTTGCCTTTAAAATAAACCACCACAAAAACAAAGTGCATGATAACGGCCTACTAATTACTCACAGTAGCAGTGAGTACTACTTTTACGTCCACTGGATGTAAAAGTAGTACTCACACTTATTCAAAATGCCATGAACCCTATAGGGAGCTCTAGGGATTAGGGCGGGGCTTCGGACACAGCCCTTGTCATTTTTCAAACTAAAACAACATTTAGACTGGAAAAAGAAACCAGTCAGAAATAATAATTATTATTTATTCATTCTTTTTGAGCTTATTAAAAATTTTGTTGGTGTTTTTTGTTTGTCAATTTTAGATGCAGTTCACGGTTGAATATTTATTGTATTTTATCATCTGTCACTCTGCTTTAGAGTAGAAGCTGGTTACTCCTTTCTTATGTTCAGTCAAAACCCTCCTTTCTGCTAAAGTTGTCTCTAGTTGCATATAAAAGGGGAACCTTCAGGCATATTCGTTCTATGTTCTTATCCACCTGTATATTTAGCTATCTTGTCATGTGACCAAAGTTCCATTCAGTGAGGATCAAATTTTCCACCTTAAGATTAAGTACGAGTTTGAAATGGATCTGGCTGAGCTGAAGCTGGAGCAGGCTGAGAAAGAGCTTCAAGAAGAAAAGCACAACAGATTTCAAGGTGAATATGAAAAACTGGAGGCTGTAGAGATGTCCAAACAGTGTTCAGAGTAAAATCAAGGAGCTGCAAAGAAGGCTGGAAAACAAAAGAACACAGAGGTTGAAGGAAGAGACTACAAGTTTTGAAGAATTAGAGGCTTTTCCTGAAGAAATGGACAAAAATATTAAAAGAGAGCAAGATATTAGGATCTGAGTAGAGGCAGAGAAACAGAAGGCTAAAGAGATCATACAAATACTCTTCAACACTCTAAAAGATATAGAAAAACATTCAAGGAGGATTTAGATTCTGTGAAACTGGAAAAACTGGACATAATAAACCTGGACATCCAACAACTGGAAGAAGTGCTTCAAGAAAAGAAAAAAGTAGGGCTCCAGGAAGAGACTGAAAACCTCTACAAATTTGAAACGGTTCAGACTGTCCAAGCAGAAGTGAAAAAAGAATGTGAACTGAAACCTCAGTCTGAGGCACAAAAAACGAAACTGAAAGAAACTGAGAGCACATCCAAGGACATCAACCAGAAAAGGCTCCAAATTTCAAGATTCAAGAGACTTTATTGTCATTCACATCACGTGTTACATGAGGTAGAACGAAATTGAGAGTCACGGCCCCAGTTACATCCGAATATAAAAAAATTAATTATAAAAACTAGCTACTAGCTACTATTTCAGCGCTTTCTGTCAAGAACTTAACCAAGAAGTAATAAGGATACAAGCCTCTTTGACTAAAAGTGAGGCACAAGGGCAGAAGGCTGTGGAGCAAAGCCAGATCCTTTCTTAAGAAACTAGAGGACAATGGAGAGATCATGGGTGATCACTAATACCATCAAGATAACACCCAACAGTCGGAGCAAGAAGCAAAAAGCCTGGTAGTCTAGGCAGAAAATAAAAGAGAACAGATTGTCCACAGTGAGACTGAGGGTTTTGAGAAGCTTAAAAGCCATCATGTAGGTCACTAACCAGGAAAAACAACTCACCTGCCAGGACAAGCAGAAGACTGTTAGTTTTATTCTGTATTGTGTAGGATATGCTCAAAATACAAACAAAATAAATTTATGTTAATTCTAAATGTTAATGTGTGTTGTTCATTAATACTTTTTTCTTATTAAATGCTCAAAAACAAAAGACGTTTTCAAAGTACACTTCTCAATAAAATTGAAGGAACACTTTGTAATAAGAGTATAGCATCAAGTTAATTAAACTTCTGGGATATTTATTTGGTCAGGTAAGTAGCAGAGGGGGTTGTTAATCAGTTTCAGCTGCTTTGGTGTTAATGAAATTAACAACAGATACACTAGAGGGGCAACAACAAGACGACCTTCAAAACAGGAATGGTTTTACAGGTGGAGGCCACTGACATCCCACCCCCCCATCTTTTCGGACTCTTTTTCACCAGTTTTGCATTTGGCTAGGGTCACTGTCCCTACTGTTAGCATGAGGCACTACCTGGACCCTGCAGAGGTTGCACAGGCAGTCAAACTCCTCCAGGATGGCACATCAAAACGTGCCATTGCCAGAAGGTTTGCTGTGTCTCCCAGCACAATCTCGAGAGCATGGAGGAGATTCCAGGACACAGGCAGTTACTCCAGGAGAGCTGGACAGGGCCGTAGAAGCTCTACAACCCATCAGCAGGACCGGTGTTTGCTTCTTTGTGCAAGGATGAGCAGGAGGAGCACTGCCAGAGCCCTACAAAATGACCTCCAGCAGGCCACTGGTATGAATGTCTCTGACAAAACAATCAGAAACAAACTTCACGAGGGTAGCCTGAGGGCCCGACGTCCTCTAGTGGGCCCTGTGCTCACTGCCCGGCACCGTGGAGCTTGATTGGCATTTGCCACAGAACACCCACATGTGACAGATGTGAAAGGGTCTCTAGAAGCCGTGGAGAACGTTATGCTGCCTGTAACGTCGTTCAACATAACCAGTTTGGTGGTGGGTCAGTGATGGTCTGGGGAGGCATATCCATGGAGGGACGCACAGACATATACAGGCTAGACAACGGAAGCCTGACTGCAATTAGGTATTGGGATGAAATCCTTGCACCCATTGTCAGACCCTATGCTGGTGCATAGGGTCCTGGGTTCCAGGCACAACAATGCCCGGCCTCATGTGGCGAGAGTATGCAGGCAGTTCCTGGGGGATGAAGGAATTGATTGGCCCCAACGCTCGCTATGTTTCGATCCATCCGATGCCGCCAGGTCGCACCTAAGACTGTCCAGCAGCTCAGTGATGCCCTGGTCCAGATCTGAGAGGAGATACCCCAGGACGCCATCCGTTGTCTCATTAGGAACATGCCCCGACGTTGTCAGGCATGCATACATGCACGTGGGGACCATACAAAATACTGAATATCATTTTGAGTTGCTGCAATGAAATTTTTGCAAAATGGACTAGCCTGCTGCATAATTTTTTCACTGTAATTTTTGGGGTGTCTTTGAATTCAGCCCTCTGTAGGTTGATAATTATCATTTCCATTAAATGATGTGGCATCCTTTTGTTGCTAACATATCACCCAGTCCATATCAGTATAAATAAAAAGCATTGTTTTTTTCCCAATTGAGATCTCATGTGTTTTGAAAGTGTGTCTTTAATTTTTTGAGCAGTGTAATTCTGTATTACAGTGTGCTGTAGAGCATTTTTACTTTTGTGTTGTGTTTTAATGACTTAAAAAAAACGTAAAGGTATAGTGGAGGATTTTCTAAAATTTTTGAAAAGAACCAACAACCCCGTACCCGCACCCAAGAGGAAACGCCTATTAAATGTGTGCAAGAGCATGCAGGAGCCCATTTCGCTCATACAAGCTTACTTTCCAAAGGAATATTTGCAGTTTTTCCACTATGACAGACTCCCCACCCAACACGATAAAAAAATATGTCTAAAGCCCATCGTAATACAGATATTGTAAATGCAAATATACGTGTTATCTCTCTAGACACTTTTTTTCTTATGACCCTCGTCCCACTATGAACCGCAGTGAGAATGGAGAGCTTCAATAACTGGCTGAAACTGTAGCTTACCTCACATCTGAAAGTTCACAGAAAAAGATAGCTGCCTGGGGACCAGCACGTAGGACGGCCTTACTTAAACATATCATCATAATGATTGACAATTAGGAGGACCACTTATTTTGATTATCCAGCCTGGAAAAATTACTTTCTCCCCTATACCTGTAAAAGTGAAAATATTTTCATTCAATGTTTCAATGATAGCAAAAAAGTGCATAAAAGTCGACTATTAAATCCCAGATCAGAATACCAAAAACATATCTGATGAGGAAAATGTCATATCTGTTTTGTTGCCCTACTTTTAGCTTAGTTAGCTTTCCTGTTTAAGGTAGGTGCACCGTTGTCACACGACTCTTTCTTTTAAAGTTTGAAATAATAAAAAAACAAAAACAAAGAGTAACTCTGCCAGAGTATCTCTTTTAAGGTCACTTTGCCGATCCCAAGCCCGGATAAAAGAGGAGGGTTGGATGAAGAGCTTACAATTTCACAACACATAAGTGTCTTTAGATTATGTCAAAGCCAAAACGTCCTTCTTGAAGAGTTGGCAGCAGTGATTTAAATGTAGCTTATAATGATTTCTACTTGGCGGTGTACCACATGTGTCATTTGTGTTTATTGTTTTTCCTTTTGGGTTGAAATAATACAACGAATGCGGCTCGTTCGCATTCATCCGACCTCTACGCTATTTATACTTGGAAAAGGTCACTATTCAAGCAACAACAGTAATTCGAAGACAGATGTAACGGAAAGAGTCCAGACATTTTTTTTAAATAAAACCCTATGCAGACTTGGGAAAAGTATTCGATTTTGTTATGGGGATCACGGCTCTGAAAACTCGATACATTAACTTTTGAGGCTGTAACCCAGGCATCCCCAAAGTCGGTCCTCGAGGGCTGCTGTCCTGCAGGTTTTAGAGGTTTCTCTGCTTTAGCACAGCTGATTCTGATGATTGCAGTTCAGCAAAAGCTTGTTAATCAACTATCAATGTAAATCAGCTGTGCTGGAGCAGGGAAACTTCTAAAACCTGCAGGACAGCGGCCCTCGAGGACGACTTTGGGGATGCCTGCTGTAACCTATCATATGGAAATCATCATCATATCATATGGAAAAAGGGTAAGGGTAAAAATTTAGTTTCAATCAGATCATTGTTCTACTTGTGTTTCTATAATTTACCTGCAGAATGAAGTGCTGAAACGATCATGGTGGTCGCTGGATGACCGGAGACAAAAGACTGAGACGATGAGGGAGGAACCAGCGTTCCCTGAGGCGTTGTGATTACCAGACCAGCTGCACAGAAGGAAAAGGGCATAAAAGTATTATATACTTATGTAAATGTACCATAAAATGCACTTTTAATATCTTTTGCTGCGCCTGGAAGTGTTAAAGCAACATTTCAAAACCAGTATGCAAAAAGAAAACAGCCATTGAATCATTTCTGAGAAGTACCCTGTGGCTGTGGAATAAAAAGAGACACAGATGTTAATTTTACCCTCAAGCTCGCCTATTGGCAACATTTGTTCTCATCAGCTGAATCATTTAATGCTCTGCTGTTATGAATCCAGGGTAAACTCTGGAGTTGCTCTGTTCAGTAGCCCTCTTCTGCATCATCAAACATTACATGAACTGTTTTTGCTGCTGAAACTGAAGGAGATGTCTCTAATTGCTCCTTCAGGCACAAACAACAGTACCTGCTGTCATGATTCCCGTGGAGGGGACAGGTAAAACGGTGATGTTCTGGCTGCTGTGAGGAGGGTGAAGGTGTGCCGCGCCACCGTTCTGCCCACCTCCATCTGCCTTGGTTCCAGGAGCTGGGATAGTAAGAAGGGCTGTCTGATAGTGGGAAGCCGATGATGATGAGAATGAGGCGTTCTTCTCCTGGTGTTCCTTGACCTTGTTTAGAAACATGGCATTTTCAAGCTGCCAGGAAAGAATAATGTGATGAAATAATAAGGAGTTAATTGAAATTTAAGGTTTGTGTTGATTATAAATGCAGCATTTACCTGTGCCGGCACAGTTGGGACAGGAGACCAGAAATACGATGAATTAAAATGAGAGTCTTCCATCATTTCTGAAGGAAAAAACAATCAAACAAAAGAAAAGTACATTATAAGGTTCATACAGTAGATCAGCCAAATAAGATAAACAGATGGTGATATTGAACTTAAAACAATACAAATGATTTGGAAACAAACATCCTTGTTCATTAAGGAGGCTTAGATTGGAGGTATGGCTGCTGACAATGATTAAGGAACACAGGCTTGACTCTGATTACCTCAATCATTTTAACAGTCATTTATTATAACTTCACAAAAAAAAAACGAACACAGGCTTGACTCTGATTACCTCAATCATTTTAACAGTCATTTATTATAACTTCACAAAAAAAAAACAAAAAAAAAAACAAGCAATTCAATCTTTCCAATGCTTGCTAGCTCTGATAAGAATAAGCCTGTAGAACGAATGCACCTTTTTCTTCCCTTGGCATCTTCTTATGCCCCTTTGACTATTTGATCTGATGTAACAAGTAAATTTCTCCACTGTGAGATCAATAACATCAATCAATCAATTAATCAAGCTCGGAAGTAATTCCGACAGACGCAGCAGGACTTAAAGGAGTCATAGAATGCCAAACTGATTTTACATCGTCATAGATGAATAACAATAGTTCAGGGGATGAAATGGACGTACGAAAAAAAAAAAAGAAAAGCACGGGGCTGCCTTTGTCAAGGCTACCGTCACCGGGTCGGTTCGGTCGCTCTTTCCCCCGCTGGCTCCCTGTTTCAACAACGTGCTGCACTGTAGTTGACCAAAATCATGGACGATTTTGAAATCCCCCCCCCTGGACATTTTTTAGGTATGAAAGTAGGACATGTCCGGGAAAGGAGGACGTCTGCTCACCCTACCATGTCAACAATTTTGATGTTTCAGCGAGTGCTTGTTGCTATGATGCGTCTTTGCTCAGCAGCTTTGCTGCAACCAATCAGTGCACAGCTCATCGAAATATTCATGAGCATACCACAAGAAGAAGCAAACCTGTTGTTTCATTCTAGGGCTTATAACCAGGCTTGCATTAGGGCTCATAGAACAGCAAATATGCCATTTTCAGCCCAACCAATGTTACACACCCTTTTCACAGACCTTAACAACAAGCACCGAATACCCTATATAATCATTCTATGACCCCTTTAAGAACCGGGAGTAATTTGTGCCCTGTTAGGTTCATTTGTGTTTGTGGGATTATTATTGCTGTGACATGAAGCCACAACCATACGGTTACCTAGATCATCTTAAAAGTATGTGCACCCCTTATATTTGGCTAAATATTTTATGACATCTTCTAACTTGACACAAATATGTCACTTTGACACAACGTAGTCAGTGTACGACTTATATAACCAAGTTATTTGTCTAACATCACAAAATAACACACAGCTATTAGCATCTAAAACATTGTCAACAAAAGTAAGCACATGAAAGGGTCCTAAATTATTTCAATTTATGGATATTGAAAGGTCTCCAAGTATGATGGACTGTTAAGGATAATACTACAGCATCCAAATGCAATTCAAGTTGTGACTTTGACTAGGTCGCTCTAAAACCTTCCTTTTATTTTGGCTGTCCAAAGTAACCAATGTATGTCAATTGATTATCTACTTTGGGGTTTTTGGTACAAAGCAAAATTAATGAATTAAATTATAACGTGGAGTTCACTATTTAACAAAGGGGTGGTTAACATATTAACCCTGGTAACCACTGGCCTGGCTAGTCTTTTTCTTGTTATTAAATAAATATTTGGTTAAAAACTGCTTTTAATTTCATAAGTAGGTTTGTTTTACAGAAAGCCTAGATATAAACAGATTTTTAGGTGGCTGTCATTATAACTATGACATTTAATAAAACACTTTCTAAATAAAATAGATTAAGTTAATAAACCATTCTAAGCACTTTAGAGACATAACAATAAAAAAAGGCTATTCAGATAGAGGTTAACCAGAGCAGCATCCTAAAATAAAAAAGTTCATAGAAATTCCACAGAAAAAAAACAAACTCCTGCCAATCAAGTTAACAGCGAAGTACAGAAGATGCATTTACGGCCCCTCAGAACTTGGGGTTCTTGGAGCCATTGCTTACTTTGCTGTTAGCAGAGATCTGTAAAGTCTCGATATAAAAATAATACCGTAATAAAAAAAAAACAGTTAAGTTGAAATTTTGAACTTATACAGTAACCAGACTATAGGGAAGTTCTGAATTTATTTTAAAACGAAGAGATAACACCTATGGATATATAATCATAGGTAGGTACAGCTATTATCCAGGCCATCACCTCTAAAACCGCGGTTATATTATTATGGGGTTTTACTGTAATAGCCCCTCCAAAAAAATGTCAAATAAGTAGTAAAATGGCTCCAAACCTAGATTAACAGCTTGCCTTAAGCTAGTTATGAGAAGCGAGCTAACAACGCTAGCCTGAATAAAGTGCTTCATGTAATGTCTAAGTACTGGTGAAGCTCTGACTCCATTCGGGCCCAGTAGGTGTTGTGGTGACTCCGGCCCAACATGCTGATTAACTTCAGCTTCAGACAATGTGTTTTCCTCCTGCCTGACTGAAAAAAAAAAAAAAAAAAAAAACAACTAGAAAAAAAAAAAAAAAAAAACAAAAAAAAAAAAAAAAAAAAAAAACCAAAAAGAAAAAAAAAAAAAAAAAAAAAACAACTAGAAAA